CTCCCTCCCTCCCTCCCATGTACGCACACGACCTCACATGCTTCTCTTTTCTTTTCTACAAAAGGTCTCAATGAACTGCGGATCAGATATGAAACCGAACAGAGCAGATAATACGCTCGATCATGCGGGGAGGGAGGATCGAATATGAAACTGATCGAAGAAGATACTGCACTTGATATGGGTGGGGGGGAAGGCGCTTAGTTCTATTCTCTCTCTCTCTCTCCCTTCGATGAACCACGGATCAGATGTGAAACTGAACCGAGTAGATACTTCGCTTGATTGTGTGGGGGGGAGGATCTATATGAAACTCATTGAAGCAGATTCTACACTTGATCGTGTGTGGGGGAGGGGACAGGAGGCGCATAGTTAGTTAAGTTAGGTTCTCTCTCTCTCTCTCTTCCCCCCCCCCCACTTCAATAGACCACGGATCAAATATGAAACTGAACGGAGTAGATACTACGCTTGATCGTGTTGGGGGGAGGCACCTAGCTGGGTTCTCTCTCTCTCTCTCTCTCTCTCTCTCTCTCTCTCTCTCTCTCTCTCTCTCTCCCCCTCCCTACCCCCCTTCGATGGACCACGGATCAGATATGAAACTGAACGGAGTAGATTCTACGCTTGATCGTGTTGGGGGGAGGCACCTAGTTGGGTTCTCTCTCTCTCTCTCTCTCTCTCTCTCTCTCTCTCTCTCTCTCTCTCTCTCTCTCTCTCTCCTCCCCCCCCTTCGATGGACCACAGATCAGATATGAAACTGAACGGGGTAGATACTACGCTTAAATGTTGGGGGGAGGCACCTTGTTGGGTTCTCTCTCTCTCTCTTTTCAATGGACCACAGATCAGATATGAAACTGAACGGAGTAGATACCATGTTTGATCGCGTGTGGGGGAGGATCGATATGAAACTGATCGAAGCAGATTCTGCACTTGATCGCGTGGGGGGAAGGGGAGGGGAGGGAAGGCGCATAGTTAGGTTACTTTCTCTCTCTCTCTCTCTCTCTCTCTCCCCCTCCCCCTCTAGCTCCTTCGCTCGCACGCGTACTTTTCTTTCTTTTATTAAAGAAAAAAATATCGATGGACCACGGATCAGATACGTAACTGAATGGAGCAGATACTCAGCTTGATCATGCAAGAAGGTCGGATATGAAACTGATCGAAGCAGACTCTCTCTCTCTCTCTCTCTCTCTCTCTCTCTCTCTCTCTCTCTCTCTCTCTCTCTCTCTCACACACACACACACACACACACACACACACACGCGCACGCACGCCGACACTAGGCACTCTCTCTCTCTCATTGTTCCAAGACCACAAAAAATGGAAGTAACAGACACAAATAACAAACTCACCGTCAGTCATCAAGGTGCGGTCGTTCGAAAGCCTTGCCGCTGCACAGCTCAAGCCTCAGCGTCCAACATTCAGAATGTCGAGATGGTGTCCTGGGTGTGTGTGAGTGTGTGTTTGTGTGAGTCTGCGCATGTGTGAGTGTTGTTATGTTCGCTATACAGAACTCACAACATGACTCAGCCAGACTGTTTCGTTGGACTTCCACCGACTCATCAGGAGGTTGAACCCCAACAGTCCACCCAAGATGAACTGTAAGGATGGCCAAGCACTCACCACTTTTCCGTGTGCCAGTGTGTGTGTGTAAGTGCGTGTGTGCATCAGTGTGTGCGTGCGTGTGTGCGTGCACATGCGTGTGCGTGTGCATGTGCGGGTGCGCGTGTCCAACATAGAACGAAGTCATAGTCGTGCATAGCAGCGTAGAAGTCAGTCCAGTAGCTTGAGTGTCGAAAACAGGCGTCGACTCTAGAGTAGCGTAAGTGTAGCTCAGTCGAGTAGCTTTGTCGAACAGGTGTCGAGCGTCCAGTGAACCTGCCCTCAACGCGCACTGCCCAAAGTAGTTTCTATACGTTGTAGCGGCGCTGGACTGGTGGAGCGTCACACGCGTGCGGTAGGGCCGGTAACACGCTTTGGTACCCGCGCTGGCACATGGGCCCAGTACACCTGCGGCGGTTCAACTTCTAAGAGCAAACGATCAGCAGACTATAGACCGTCGCGGAGTGTAAAATCGCAGGCCCCCGATCGTCTGAATGTCACAGACCAAAAATTAGCGATACCATAGTGAATGAGCCAGACCGATGATAAATGTTGTGATGCAAGACAATAGCAGAATCCACAACTTCACAACGAGATAATCCATACTACGAATCCACAACTTCACAACGAGATAATCCATACTATGAATCCACAACTTCACAACGAGATAATCCATACTATGGGATACCAGCACAGATGCTGAACCGTACCTGATCATTCCCATTGGATGCCCCGTGCGCTCGTCAACTTTGAAGAGATCCTGAATGATTTCACACCGATGCTCTTGTGTTGCCATCACACAATGGTACTTGGTACTCGCAGGCCAATCCATTGACCCAACAACCTGCATACACACCAACCAACGCAGTACAAACATCTTAAAGAGTGAACACTAGTCACAAACTGGTAATTAAACCTGCATACATACCAATCAACGCAGTACAAACATCTAAGAAGAGTATGAACAATAGTCACGAACTGGTCATTAATTCCATGGCAGCACGCACTCGTAAGAAAATATAACATCATGCATTAGCTTGCCTCCAGACATCTTCTGTATGTCACTCAGAAGCTTTAAAAAAAAACTTCCACTTACAAAAGACAAAACGGATTTCAAGGTCCCTGGCCTGGCAGCCAATCTGTCCATGCCTTAACCATCGATTACACCGCAACATAACGTAAAACTTGTCAGACGCTTTTAAACGAAAAGAGAGGTACTTCCATACACCTAGAGCAGAAATATCCCCAGCGCATTACTCGCTCCAGACATAAGACTATTCAGTACAAAGTGTGAAATGAAACCACCAGGAACCACCAGGTCCAGGACTTCAAATTGCAGTCCCGGATAAGAAACGACACTCGCCAGGGACAGGGAATAGAACCCACCGCTGCAATTGATGGCGCCATATCTTCTCCAGGAGCTGGGTGTGTCACATCGGCTCCAATCACTATTGTGGGGACGCTTGTGAGAGTTGCAGGAGGCTGTGAGAGCATGAAATTCGTCCCTCCTGCCTGTAGACATATAGGCCAAAAGGTAACAACACACAACCAACGACAGTCAAACATGTCCAGAACATTAACATCCACGTTGTCCTGCAAAGACAGTGAAGAAAAGACAGCAGGATGCAGAGACATTCAACTTGATCGCACCGCTAATAGGGGTTCCGATTGCATTCAATGGGAGTACACTGCTCCGACAGCAGATGATAGCCAATACCTCGAAAAGACACCCCCAGAAAAGCTCACGACATTCAATCTAACACTTCAGGAAAGAGAACCCAGGTGCGACAATCATCACTACTCTCAAAAACAGGACAAAACTCATGTTCCATCCCTCTGTTACCGGCTCCTCTTTGGAGATGCATAGCCAGTCATGTTCAACACTACTGCTCGACAAATACTTGTCCTACTAGTTCCTCAGTTTCCCATTCCTTGACTTCGGTAAAATCCTGCCATTCTCAGGTACACATCCAAAAATCAAAACAACATGATTATTGAGACAATAGCAGAAAGCCCCCACTCGGTCCAAAAACTGACAAAACCGTTGATGCCTTCAAGCCAGAACATAAAATAACGTATGAAACCCTCCTCAGCCACCGCTGCATGACAACTGATGCCCTCTTTTCCACACTGCTACGAACGGCACCTTCAGGAGACCTTTTCGCATCCTTACGTAATGATTTCTTTCATCCTCCTCCCTTTTTCCTCCTCTTTTCCTATTACTTACCTCTTTACTTCTGAAAAGGCTTGTGTATTTCCCGCTTTTGGTGCTCGTATGTGATCTGACTTTTGTCACTATGATCCTTTTGTCATGCCCTCACTTATTGCATTGCATGCGCTTGTGGACAACACAGCACATTACGTGCAGCCTATTTGCCTACCCGTTGACGTTTCAATGCAGGGTGAAAACACAGCACATTGCGTGCAGCCTATTTGTCTACCCGTTGATGTTTCAATGCAGGGGTTTCGTGCTGGTGGTTTAATGGAAACAAGCTTGCTGTCTTGTTGACACCAACAAGCTCCTAGTGTCTCATCAAACAAGACCATTGTAAAGACATACGGGACAAGGACATCCCACATTCAAAATTACACACCACACCACCACCAAAATATTACACCCAAAAAAAGATGCCAGCCATAACCAGCCATTACTATGCTAGAGCTGATGCGGACAAGCTCATTGTTTCTCTTCAAACAAAATTATCATCACACAAGTTCCTCAACAGAAAAGGAGATCATCACAATCATCATCAGTCAGGACCACAGAAGCCACACATTCTTCCCAAATAGACCGTAGATCACAGAACAATAATCACCTTCATGTTGATCTTCAATACGACATTGGCCAAATAGGGAAGTTTTGCTGGTCCCACATTTTTCGCCAGTACACATTGTGTCACGACATGCAGCGACGTGTCCGCATACCTTTTAAGGAGACCTGCAAGAAACAGCAATTAGAATCAATCAATCAATCAGTCAATCAACCCATCGGAATTCTTCCCCATCGGAATTCTCCGAAGCATCAATCAATCGATCGACCGATATATAAGCAGATCCAATCTTGGTCTGCTCCGATACCAAACTGTTGCATGGTACAAGCGAACACAAGTATGATGCAGAACCCAGAACCGACCAATAACAAAAAGCAATACAATGCAGCCGAAGGCTGATAAACATACGAGCACGCTATGTTGGAAGCCAGGGCCTGCACGAACCACACACTTACAGAGACAAGGACAAGAAAGGCGCCAACACAAATGTCACCAAAATAGCATTCCGAAATATCGAAGATACGAAATCTTGAAATTCCACTGATGTCAGATCTCCGAAATCAGTCCTCCCAACATCCTAGTCCGAATAGTCTCAGTCCTCATGTCACCGATAGTTGACCACCAATCTCTGTCCAAATAGTAGCAGGAATGTAGAAGGCGAGGAGATGAAGATGAAGAGGAGGAAGAAGAACCGAGAGCTGCAGAGGAGGTGGAGATGGAGAGGTGGGGAGGAGGAGAGTCCTTTCTGCCCTGCTTCAGTGTCCAGGTACCAACCTGCTGGCGCAAAGTGCACCTTGGAGCTGCTGAAGACCTGCCTTTGACGCTGGAGCTATGTCGCTCACAGGTAAGTACAGCTAGTGCTACACCTAACGCTACTGCCTCAACTGCGCTAAACCAAACTTCGCGCAGCGCTCAAGCTCCTCAATGCCGCGGTCTCCAGTCCCTGAACAGACCGCTGGCCGGTACTAAGTACTGAAGTGGCTGCTGGTAAAGCCGCAGTGATCTGAACTGTCCGCTCAATCTGCGGTTCAGATCGGATCCGCCAGGGAAACTGCAGTCTCAAACTTCGGCCAACAGGTCCAAACGAAAAACGTTTGGACCGGTTTCCCGCTTAGGGCCTGCAGATGCAGACACGGGTCTGAATCCCGTTCTTGGAGGCTTAAGGCCGGCCTTTTCCAAAGGTCCGACCTTTAACCCTGGCCAGACTGGCCCAGCATGACCAGACAACCCCCTAGACCCAACCGTCGGGCCTAACAGGGCCAGTGTAGAATCCAGTATGTAAAACACACGAGAACATAGCTTCAACACAATGCGTATGTGTTCAATGCCACATCCACATCGCTCGCGCTCAACTGTCATGTCCAAAGAATTTCAAATCAGTCTGAACGAGTGGGATAGAACAAAGTTGGTGGGGTAGGCACCAGACATGAAGCATTGTAGATTTTTGCTGAACTTGCTGCAAAGACTCGAGCTCATCTGAAGGGAGCAAGTAAGTCATGCAACTGTTCAGCCTTGACATTATATTGCACAACCCGATAAGAGTTCCTAGAACTATACCACGGGTTTTGAAATATTTGTCACCCTCTATGTCTCCTTCCTCCCTCCCTCCCCCCCATTCTTCCTCTCTCTCTCTCTCTCTCTCTCTCTCTCTCTCTCTCTCTCTCTCTCTCTCTCTCAGCACCATCATGACCTGCTTTCCCATTCATTCCTTGCAAAAGACCATACACAACCCATCAAGCAGCTAGAAGGTTTAGTCATTACATAAAACACGGAGGAAACAATAAGCAAAACACATGAGACCATGCTTAACAAAAATAAGTACTTACTGTAGATGTTGTTGTTGTCAGGCAAAATACAGAGGATCATGACATTGTCAGCGACTCTGTTGCGTATTTTCAATGCTTTTAATTCTTCGTTCACTTCATACAGCTTGCGCTCAAATTGCCCAGGAACAGCATTTGCACGCTTGAACGAGCTCCACTGTTGGTGAAATTTCTGCCAAAGAAAAACATTAGGACATTCTAGGTAAAACATCTACCAATAATCTTATAGCTCATCCTGTGCCATGACAAACATCTCAACAGGATTACTCTTCTGAACCACTTAATTCAAAGGTATATTTTGCCTTCCCTGCCCCTGGCTACCTGAATGTTCTGAGGGTACATCCTGGCATTCGCACGAGTATGTTCAGCATTCAATTTGCCCCCTCTACTTTACAGGAGGCAGACCACTACGTTAAGCATGTACAGCCATATATTTGGTAGGTGAGCGAACTGCAAATCCAGACAAACCATAACCCAGTCATACAGGTACCAACACCGCAAATTTGCTACATGCTGCAGCTCCGACAAACACACCCCACTTGGTTGCACAGGGTGCAGTTAACTTTCCCCCAGCAGTTTTCCACACTAGATTACCAGTCCATTGTGGTTTTGGGAGGGAATTAGGTGGTGGACCCCATCTAGCCTGGAGCTGGGATGCCAGCTCAGCCTGGGTCACCCAGACAGGTAAGTCCCAATCTCACAAGGCCGCAGGCCAGTACGGCTGAGACCCATCCACCTGCCTCGGTGAATCCAGAAGGTCAACAACCGGCAACCAGTTGGAAATAGAAAAACTCCTTTTTCATTGATGGGGCTGTTTTCCGCCCACTGAAAAGTCCCAAATTTGGCCTTTTGCTTTCGGCAACGTCAGG